AGTGGCAGCTCGAACAGGAGAGATTACAGCAGTTGTTGTAGGAAAAAGAAAAAAAAAACAAGAGAGACAACAGCAGTGGCAAGAAAACCTGCAACAGTGGCAGCTCGAACAGGAGAGATTACAGCAGTTGTTGTAGGAAAAAGAAAAAAAAAACAAGAGAGACAACAGCAGTGGCAAGAAAACCTGCAACAGTGGCAGCTCGAACAGGAGAGATTACAGCAGTTGTTGGATGAAAAAGAAAAGAAACAAGAAGAAAGTCTTCAACAATTGAGAGAAAGACAGCATACACAAATGGAAAAGATTAGTAAATTTCAAAGTGAATTAAATACATTAAAGGACGATTTACTGTCCTTTTCACAGGGAGGATATATTAACCATGGACCTAATCAGCCCCAGACAACAGGAAGCCCCTTCCAGACCCCACAGCTAAACTCTAATGCAGACATCTTCAGTCCTGACACAAGACACATTCCAGACACGAGTGCCAGCAACAGGGGTGATCTAGTATGAAGGAAGCCACAGGAATTCGATGGGAAGGCACCATGGGAAGCACATAGAGCACAATTTGAGCTACTGGCAGAAATGAATGGATGGACAGAGGAGCAGAAAGCAGTATATCTGGCATCGAGCTTGAAGAGACAACCACTGGAAATACTTGAACAGTTGTCAGCAGATGACAGGCACAACTATAGAGCACTGGTAGCGGCTCTAGAACTCAGGTATGGAACTCAAAATCAGTTCGAAGTCTACAGGGCCAGGTTCACGGAATTTGTGAAAGTGTTATCGGAAAGGATGGATGATATTCACCATCAAGCGCGTTCAAACTTGAAAACGTCTGCTGATTCGATGAAGTTATCTTATGATAAGAGATCTACTGAAGTCAGCTTTGTACCAGGAGACAAGGTGTGGTTGTATAATCCCAGGAAGACCAAAGGGAAGTCTCCTAAGTTGTCTTCTCCATGGGAAGGCCCATATGACATAGTGGTTCGTCTCTCAGACGTGACTTTCTGGATAAAATGTGGTCGGCGAGGTAAGCCAAAAGTGATGCATGTCGAAGAAGAAACTCTACTCGGCTTTGAGAAGGGAAACAGTGA